CCGGGTAAAAACAGAGGTTTTTGCAAACCCGGCCCCGGCCCCGCCTAAACAAACACAATTTGCAGGAGTTACTAGCCAGAGCTGGATTTTTGCTGTTGTTGTTTTTTTTGTTTTTTTTTTATATTTTGTCAAGTTAAAATTTTTTGTTAAAGTTTAAGGAAATATAAGAAAAAGACACAAAAATAATATATACAAATATAGTATAATTCATAAATATTTACAATGACAAATAAGAAGTAAGACACTTTATAATAATTTAAGTTTCTTCCTCTGATTCTGATGATTCTGTGTCCCAGACATCATAGTATTTTGAATTAGGTGGTGTAAAGTCTTCAGGGGCATTACATAAATACGTTGAATAAGAAAGAGCCCTTAAATTGTATTTAAAAAAAAGAAGTGTTTCAACATTCTGTGTTGTAAGTCTGATGCGATCTTTTTGTATTAAATTTGAAACCTTGAACTCTTACATGTTGTTGAGCTTGAGAGTGAACATAAATATACTTTTGCCAAGTTTGCTAGCGTTGGCAACTCGCTTTTCATGAGACTCCAATATAATAATGGATCTTCTGAAATATCTATTCGCTTTTTCTTATTATTCTTTACATTTAAATAAATTTTTTCTTATTATTCTTTACATTTAAATACTTGAATAGCTCAACTATGTAATTCATTTGATTAAAATTACAATTAAAAAGCTACTTACATTTTAAATGTAAAAACAATAAATTTATCTTATGAAATTTATTTTAGGATATTTTAAACACCCTGATTGTTAGCAATTTTTAAATACTTCTTCAAATTATTAACTTTGTTTAAAAATTTCAAATGTGTTGTTTTTGCTGATTTTTAATTTATTGTTTGACTATTTAAATATTATTTTACCTGTAATTTACTACCGGGTGATAAAGAGAAAAAAAATATAAAAAAATAAAAAATAAAAAAATAAAAAATAATCAATTTATTACGTCATGGCCACCGACTTTTCTAGAACATCCAGGTTGCTGGCTTGTTTGTTCTTTCATCCGGAATGAACAAAGTAAATCAGATGGATACATGGTGTCTTTAAAAGATAGGAAAAAAAGCAATGAACTTAGAGATAGTATGAGAGTAGTAATTATATTTATCGTGTGAATCAGAGAAGATGATAATGATGCCAATGATTAAGATGATGATGATGATCATTGTCATCATCTTAATCAGAATCATCTTAATCATCATTATCAACTGTATGCTTTATGATGATGATGATGATGATGATGATGATGATGATGATGCTGATGATGATGATGATGATGATGATGATGATGATGATGATAATGATGATGATGGTGATGATGATGATGATGATGATGACCATGTTTAAATTCGGTATAGCCACTTTTTTTTTTGTTTTTGCGGCTTTTTCTTCGGTATTGCAACTTAAGCGTTCGTTTTTGCAACTTAGTTTCGTTTTTGCATCCACGTCGTTCGTTTTTGCTACTTCAATGTGTTTAAACTCGTTTTTGCAACCCGCAAGAGTTCAAATCGGCAACGGTTGAAACAAACTTCAGTTTTCGCCATTAAACGGTTAGCAGATAAAAGTATCACTCAAAAGGCGATCAAAGTCCAACTGCTAATTTAATATAATTTATGCGTAAATTAATTGTTTGAGAAAAAAACAAAATGGAGCGCAATAAGAAAGTTGCGTAAATTTTGAAGTCAATTTATTCTAGCACTATATAAGAAAAATAAACTTTGTTTACAAGGAATATTATAAAATAATAAACTGTTTCTTATTTACAACATAATTTTTTTAGAACTTTTGAACATTAATAAAATGCAAAAGAAAAAATGATTTTAATTTTTTTTATATGAATTTTTTTCATCTTATATAATTATCTATATTGAAGTTATATAAATACTATATAATGCTACTAGTTACATAAATAGTTATTAAATAATCTCTTTTCATAAACACTACTTATATAAATAGTTACTAAATAATCTATTTTAATAAATACTACTAGTTACATAAATATTTATTAAATAATATCTTTGAGGTATGAAGTAATAAGTACAACCTTATTCACTTAATTTTATATTTCTGAAAAGCAAAGGTCTAAGTGTTATGCATTCGGTTATATTTTAACAAAGCTTATTTAAGCTTTCTACTCGAATAAAAAATTAATAAAGTGTTAAACTGTTGTTGTTGAATTATATTCAACTTTCGTTTCAACGCGAACAAAGAAAAAGGATAAATAAAATACATCTACAAATATGGAGTCAGTATAATAATTTGTTTGTATTATTAACAAACCATTTTTTAAATTAGGATATTTACGAAACTAAATAATAACTAAAATAATAAAAACATTTTATAACATAGAGCTGCATTTTGAACATGACCAATCTGCACATTTGTCTTCCAAAACATAATCAGGGATACGTTCACAAGCGCGATGATACCAATTTTCGCATATTCCGCATTGCACCATATGTCTAAATATAATCCCCAGTTAGACAAAAAGAAATTACGTAAACAGAATAGAATGCATTGAGTTATATTTACCTATCTTTAATATAACTATCCGAAGCTAACCAGACTTGTCTACAAATGCAGTACAAGGAAAAATTGAATTCTTTTTCTTTGCAGAATCGCTAGCTGTTTCGGACTTTGGAAACTCAGTAAACTGATTGCCTTTCACACATTTTAGCAAATGATTTCTCATTTGAAAAGCGTCAAAAGCAACATAACTTGGATTTGATCTAGTATCGGTAATATGTTTTATAAAGGCTAATGCGTACAAACCACAATCAACATAATTTGTTTGTTGTTGCACCGGTACAACGCGGACAGTTAATTTATCTTCATTGCAATGCATAATAGCACAAATTTGCCTAACCACATGGTTTTTTAACTTTCCACGAAAAAAACTGTCTAAAAGAAAAACCTCACCAACAGAACATCCAAAATTACTTATAGCCAACCAGTGGGCATCGCCATCATGCAACACCTGGACAAAAGATGCTTTTTGTACACGGAACGATAGATTTTGTCTAAGAACTGGGTCTTGGAGACCGCCTACACCTGTGATCATCTTTTGCATGGTGTGGATTACAATGTCAGATAACATTTGGTTTGTTAAAATATCGTTCAAATCATTGGAAGAGAGATTACAGTTAGGTGATAAATGGTTTAGTCTTTTCATCTCGAATCCATCATTTTCATTAATAGTAACTGACTCATCATCAATAATTATACTATTTCCATCAATATGTTCAATAATGTCGACCTCAATCGGCTCGGTTTTGTGTTTTTTTTCCTCTAGAAATATTTTAGAAGATGCAATAACCATATCTTTGTGATTACCTACGCGATCAGTAGGAAGCTTCATTGGTTTACGAACAGGAATTAGAATGTTCCTTTTTAAATGACAAGGCAACTTGATATCCAATGGAGAAAGCGGAATTCCTGATTCTTTAATTCTATTTTTTTCAAGTTTTTAATGAGAGAAGCAAGAGTGCTATAAACAAGAACAATTTCTTCTGAATTTTCCTCAAATTCATATGATAGGTTTTGAATTGTTGTAAGCATTTCCCTAACATTTACTTCAGAGCAAACACTTGTAATTTTTTTAGATTTTTCATTCCAATCATTAATGACATCTAATTCTTTTTTAGGTAGAATTGAACTTTCCGGCCTACGAAATGGTGGTTTTTCGTGTGATGCTTCGTAATCATCAGCATCTAAGTTTAAGAATGGTGAACTTAGATATAATGATGACAAAGCACTCCATGACCAAGCAGGGTACTTTCTAAATACTAAAAAAAAATGTTTGCATGGATATGCAGTTGATATCCAATTTAAACAAGTACATTTTGGCATTGTAATCTCATCACCAAATGATACAAAATATTTAGTAGCTGGCTTGGTAGAACTTAATACAGCAAAAACTCCATGTTTAATCATGATTACTCCGGACAAATCAAGATTCTCAACATTACTTTTTTTTATTAGGCAATGTTTAACAAAGCTATGAGGACGGTTGTAAAGATAACTTGGCACCCAACGTGCATACCTTCTGTAACGTGCATCCATTTTAAAGTTGAAATCAGTATAGCTAAATGAAATAATATTCATAGTAACAAAGTTTCTTTAACAAAGTATTAGGAAAAACCCAATATTGTGTAAATGAATGTAAATGATTTGGTATGTAGTACCATAGACACGATATCTTTAAAATGCAAAATGTAATGATAAGTAAAATAATTTTTATATTAGTTACGCGAACAATCTATACAATGAATTATTATTAAATATATAGGGTAAAAACCTGCTGTTAACATACTTATACCTAGGTTTCTGAACTTGTTTTTTTTTAACCAGAGAAAGTGTTTGTTGTTTTTATTTAGGTGTTTATTACTTTTTAAAATTGGTACAAACGTAACGAAACTTTAAAAAAATGATACCTGTCAAGTTTATCAATGAAGAAGTCATCAATAAGCAAAGTTAACATTCCAGTCAATGATGAGTTTTTATGTCGCTGTAAATAAGTATATTTAAAAGACTCATTCTGCCTTTCCACACCATTGTTTGTATTGCAATTGATAAGAAGACGATCCTGCCTGTACCACCAAACCCACCTCTAATTTAAAAAAAGCTTTTTTTTTTTTATTTTGTTTTGTTCAGTTAAATATAAAAAAATTAAATAACTTTTTATTGAATCTTCCTGTATTTCAAAAATTTTATATTTTACATACTTTTTTAATTGGGAGCCAATACTTTTCTATATATTGTTTAAACTTAGTAAAACTTTCTTGACTCCAGAATTCAGACTGTTCCAATATTCTTTGAGCATTTTCTTCCTCGTCAATTGACTTTGACCAAGCGAGTCGTCTTAAAATACATAAAATATCATCTTTTCTGTTAGAGCAACCACTTGATAGCTTTTTTAGCCAACGGTCCCAAGACTGTTCTCTGTGAAAGTCACATATAAATACCTTACATTCTAAAAAATATATTAAAAATCAGTTGATTCATTGGATGTTTGTATAGTTAAATTAACTTCATGTAAAATAAATAAATACGCACCAATAAAAATAGTTTCGAGAGCACGTATCTCAGCATTACAATAATCAGTCATGCAATAAAGAGGTTGCAAATTTTCATTCCAAGACTTTAAGATAACAAGTGCTTCAGATATCGATTCAAAAGTTTCACTTTCGCTTACAAAGGTTGCTACAATTTGATAATCCACATATGTTTTGACAACCAAAAAAAACAAAGGTAAAGAATATCGTGTCGTTTTGTATGTTGCATCCAAAAACAACATCTCATTCCCATATTTTTTTAGCAGTTTTTTTTGCCAAAATGCTTGGTATACAAACAAGAGCTCAGCACTGTTACCCCTTTCTTTAGGTCGAAAATAGATATTGGCAGATGAGTCAGCTTCTTTCCATTCTTTTATTTTGATTTCTAAGCAGTCTTGGTCGATGTTCGAGTATCTAAAACGTTAAATTTTATTGTCTGCTTTATAAAATGAAATATTAAATTATAAAAATTAGTAACATAGCCTTGTTGTTGTTTTTAATTATATGATAGAGTGATTAATTGATTGAATTGGTTAATTAAAAAGATTGATTAAATTAATGAATGACTGAAGTTATCTTTAATATTTAATAAACACCTAAAACCTCTCTTAAATAGTCCTACATATTATAATATTTGCAACATCAAAATTTATTTATTTTGCATTTTTTAAACTCTATTACCTTTGCTTTAGACGCTCTTTGACCATGTGCGAATGAATTATGTCAGTTCTTGGATAAAATCTTCTGTTGGTTCTAGAAGGAAGATTTTTCTTTCCAAACATTTCATTGACAGTAATATTTAAAAGTCTTCTCATCTCACGCACATTAGAAACACCATCTTTAATGTATTCAGAAATTTTAACTGATAAGCGTGGATCAATTTTTTGTGAGAGTAGCTCAATCTAAGAAACGTTAAAATGATTTACTGTTATAAAAGCTAATTAAAACAAATATCAGAGTTTTATATTAGAGCTTCTTTTTTCATAGATGAGTGGCCTTCACAACGATTAAAAAGTCCACATGCCCCAATTTAGGATTTAATGTCGTCACCGTTGTGTGTAGGTACTTATGAATGAATATACAAAAACTATTGGTTATAGTTAAAATAAGACTATTTAAACACAGTTAAGAAAACTCTAGCATTAATACCTTGCCAAGAGGGTGATTTTTGTGATCATTTAAGCAGTCTATCTCAACAATAATTTTTCGACTAATTACCACATCCTTTTTTTGTAGCAACGAATATTTTATTTCTTTTGACTGTTGCTTCTTACGATAATTACTGGAATTAATAAGCTGAAAAAAATATTTAAATAAGAAAACTAAACAAAGATTATTTCAAAAGTAATAGATCGACAGTAAACAGTTAAAAACTTAATAAAATATTGTGAGTGCGTAATAATTTATAAAATGATTTCCTATTTAATAGAACATTGTAATGTCAGTAGATTTGTTACCTTGAAGTCAGTGAAATATACCACTTCTTTCATAATGGCTTTTGCAGGACAATTAAACTTTTTAGTATCTTGTATGATAACATAATCAGTTATGTATAAATGATCCACTTTCTTTAAAAAAAAATAGCCGAAGTGAACATAAATTTATTTGACAACGATGCGAATTGTAAAAATAGGAGAATCTTTACCTGATTTTCTTTTGCTTCATTATGCTTCCTTTTTGCAGCAGCGTTCCGATCGAAACCACGGTGACAATTGTATCTTTTTGTAGATAATATAATATAAGGAGTAGCATAGTCTTCAGATGTTTCCCATAATACTTTATGTTGGGTTCCATGTATAACTAAGCAAGGAAATTAGGATATTATATTTTGTGTATGATTTCAAATCATGTGATTGTGCAGAATTATTATGCACACACATTAGAACAACGATGTAGTTAAGGTGATTTATTAACTATTGATACATTATATTTCTAATTCGCACCATTTATTTTTTTTGTGTGAGTCGGCACCTCTTATTATATTTTAACAATCATTGTTCTCTTTTTTTAACATTAGTTAAAAATGTTACTACAACCAACACAAAGTGTAAAGAACATCATTTTAAAGGGATATTGATTTTCCTCAATAGCGTTGAATAAAATTTTTGGAAAAAATTTGTCTTTTCACAACAGATCCTTGTTCAAATCTATTCAGGTGCATTTAATTTAACTTTATTTTGATTTTAATATCACATTTAATTTAATATTAGTTAAAATATAACATTTCTATAAAGTTTCAAACAAATTTAGGAATAGAATAAACCAATAATTAAAAAAAAATTCTAAAGACTGAGCTAAACTAATAATAATAAAGAATGATAATTACTTCATCTATATAACGCACTTATTTTTAATTATAATAAAATCTGAAAAAGGAAGCCAAATTTTTTCTTAGTCAATTTTTGGTCTAGGTTTTTGTAAGAAATATTTAAATATTATAAATTCATATATTTCGCGCGTATGCAGAAATTAAAATAACAGTCATTGTTTCCCCATAATTATTTTATATTACAAATAACATTAATTCTTCTTAAAATATATACAAGTATAATTTGTTTGCTTTTACAGCGTTTTAAAATAAAAGTTCCTCGTTTATTTATCTAATAACATTTAGTTACACAAAAATTGCAGATTTCAATAGATACACGCTGTCAAATTAGGTACCAAGTCTTCATGAAAATCTTTATACTATGCAAAATAAATTGCACCAATACGGCGTATATAAGCACCAGTTTATAGAATCAATTTTTTTTTAATCTAGCTTAAGTTTGTTTTGTCCAAGTCAAAGTAATTAGTTAAACATGTTAGGTATATTAGAAAAAACAGTAAGTTTATCAAAACAAAGGTTCCAATTACGTTAAAAAAAAAAAGAAGCCTTGTTTATTGATATTTTACTAAAATTGGATCGTTTACATTTCCAAATTGAATCCAGTAGGTCTCCTGTAAAAAGAAAAGGCTATTATTTGGCTATTAAATTGTACATCCAACTGAAAATGTTTAATATATAATTTCGTTTATGGTTTATTTTCTGAAGCACATGCTGATATTCTGACAACTCAATATGAAAATTAATCAGAAATTAAAGAAAAACAAAAGCAAATAAAAAATGTACAATAGGTTAAACATAAATGATTATAATTAAAAGTTTATATTATTTACAGTGATCATCTATAAGACGTGGGTGCATCTCCTGTGTATCCACCAGATTAAATAATAAGTTGAGGAATGAAAAATGCGTTTTCAAGAATATAAAAATCAAGGTTGTTAATTAATGATTAATAAAAACTGATGAAAATTACACCAATGTGTTGTTCCCATGAGTCGACGTAATGCAATTTTTTAAATATAAATACGACATTCTAGAAGAGTGGAAGCAACTTCTTACAACCAGATGGCAAACCAATAACTTGTTTTGCCAATCAGAGTAGAGTAATTGTCATAGTACAATTACTTACTTCTTACCTTAACTCAGATTAAATTTTTTTATGTGTGGTTTTATTACTACTTACTTTGTTTGTGGTGATGTTTGTTTTAATGTTCCAATCCAATGTCAATTAATGGTCAAAAAAGTAAATTCCAGTCATGTAAATTTACTAAATTAAATCCATTTATCAACAGTATTTTTGCTGAAATAAAAAAAGAAAAGAAAAATAACATGGAAAAAAAAGAATTTTCAAAATCACAATAACTACACCGAGTTCACAAAACTTTTAATATTTATAAAAGTAAATATTGTCACTTTTCCAGATAATGTAAGCTTGAGTTAAAAATATATATTATACCTGAACTTCCAAAGCTCTTTGGAGTGGAAAGGGCAGCAAACCTAACAGAATTACTGATTTCATAACTATGAAGAAATCGAGTAGCTTCCTCAACTGAATCACAAATGCAAGGCTTGGTGTTGTCTAAAACTTTAAACTCATTGAGATATTATATTATATTATATTAATAATCATATCAAAGAATAAAAAAAAACAAAAAACCTTTTAAAGTTGTAGTGTCTTCTTCTACTTTATATGTATCAGTAATGTCTTCATAATCGGACAAATCTGAACCAGAGCTAAAAAAATATATAATAATCTAGAATAATGCATAATAGCATTTGCTATTCTACTTATTTTACAGTGATTTTGATTAATAATTAAAATTCATCAATAAACTTTGTGACGAGGAGAGCAAATAAGTAAAACTAATCATTTAAATGATGTTCAGTTTTAGAAGCTGATAAGGATACACGTGGCAGAGCTAAAGTAAAAGGCTGCAAATTCAAATCATTGTGTTACTTGTATACCGAATCCCAGGCTCTGTAAAACCAAAATCTAAACCCCATGTTGCAAATATAAAGCATGGCTAATAACATACTTTTGAAAGTTGAAAATGAAATATAACTAGCAACATATATAAAAAAATAAAAGATTATTTATTTTTTTATTAGTTACTAATGGCATCATTAGTTATGTAATAATGTCATTAAGACATAACAAACTACGTAGATGTTAGTCCATGACAAAACCCATTTTTTAATACACAACTTGTTGAATTATGCTATAAAAAAATTCTGGAAAATGACTGAGATAGTATTGATATTAAATGAGATCCAGTGGTCAATTATATGTTCTAAGAAAAAATGTTATCTGATTTGAGTTAAGAAAATTGTGCTTTACCAAACCAAAAAGGTTGCCATTTCTTCTTTTGTTTTTCACTGATTCAAAGAATATCTTATAGAATTGACCTACAAAACTCATACATTATCTTGTATACTTCTTTTAGGTCAAATCTGTGTCATTGTTGTTCAAGTGTCTATAAACCTAATTTAAGTATTGTCTGTATATGGAAGATGTTTTGCAACTATTATCAATTTGCTAATCCCATGATGTACTTTTTAGATTATCTTTTTAATAATCTTCGACATAAAAAGATGACAGAGTGATGCGAAATATTCCATGTGTGGATTTACTAATAAATTATCAAGTTTCAACACATTATTAGAGTGCTCGTTATATTTAACTCTGATATATTTAATACATTTAACAAACATCAAAGTTAGATACACAAGCTCTAGGAGGGTGCATTATTAACCAACTTAAGTTAAAGTTGCATTTATTTGAAAAAAATTTGTTCAACATGTTTAAGTCTTAAAAGATAATGAATATATCATAACAGACTATAATTAGGGCATGGTTGTGACAATGTCATGGGCCATGGTTACAACAAGATCTATGTTCAGGACCAAAAACTAGTGAAAAAACTAAAATAGTCCTTGTTCTTGGTACCAAGAACGAAGCCACATATTTCAAACTTTAAATTAAAAATGTAAATAGTTCTAAAAATGTAAATAGCTCTAAAAAATGTCCTGTATCTTGTAATAGATAAAAAAAAAAACTGTTCATAATTATTAAAAAAAACAAACCTTTTTATAAAATTATTTACCTTATTGACATTATTCTATTTACACAAAAATGTTAACTAAATCAAAGACAATGAAGAATTGAATGTTATGAAAACAAGGCACCGTGATATTGACAAAACAACAATTATAAAATCACAATAAGATTAACGGTTTCAAAACAGATATAACAGTGGCAATTAGAACAATATTGAAGTTCACTTTCGTTCCTAAACGGTTGTAAGAGTAACATGTGCTCTCGAAGCTATTTTTAGCATATTTTATTTAATTTTGCATATGTAATTTCCGCATAATTACGTATAATTTTCAAGTGGACTTTGATCGCCTTTTGAGTGATAGGGGAGACCGGGGTTGGTTGCAACAGGGGTAAGATGCAACAATGCGTTTTAAAGAATAATTTTTACATATTATTTTTCAATTTTTTTACATTATATAACTATAATTATGACACGCAAGTTATAAAAAACTTATAGTAATAAACTTAAAAATTTAAAAGTTATTGATAATTGTTTTTTTTCTATATAAATTTCTAATTTTCGTTTCAATGTTTTTTTGGGTTTTACAAAAAACTAAGAAGTATATGACAATAATAAAATAATAGTAAGTTAAAAAAATCTTTTTCAAACACAAAAAGTAAAAAAAAATAGATTTTTTTAATATGGCTAATTGTATGCATTGATTAGAGTGATCATGATGCCTACGGGGTAAGTTGCATCAAATTGCTCGGGGTAAGTTGAATCACAAAAGAACTGCGGACTTTATTAATTTTACGCACTTTTCTAAATAATCGACTTTTTTTTAATAACAAGACAGCAAAGAAGTTTTTGAAAAAAAATTATAATTTTAAAGATAAGACTATGTAACGTACATATGTATGTTATATTTATAAAGCATATGTATATATGTCTAATAATATAAAAGATAAGTTTATATTCTATGTTTATATTTATATTCGAGGATTATATAATCCTCGAATATAAATATAAACATAGAATATAAACTTATCTTTTATATTCAAAGACATATATATATATATATATATATATATATATATATATATATATATATATATATATATATATATATATATATATATATATATATATATATATATATATATATATATATATATATATATATATATATACATACATATATATATATACATATATATATATATATATATATATATATATATATATATATATATATATATACAGTGTGTATATATATATATATACAGTGTGTATATATATATATATACAGTATATATATATATATATATATATATATATATATATATACAATGTATATATATATATATATATATATATATATATATATATATATATATATATATATATATATATATATATATATATATATATATATATATATATATATATATATATATATATATATATATATATATTATATATACATTTATATATATACATTTATATACATACATACGTAAAAGTTATAATTACATTATTAAAATATTATTATTATTAAGTACATACTTAAAACATTAATAGGTATATAAATAAATGTAGCAATTTAGACTAAATTATATAAAATGATTTTTGTAATGTGTTTTTTTATTGTTATGTTATTTAGAGGTTTAATAAAAATTGTAAATGCGAACTTACAAGAGAAAAACTGAAAAAGGACTTTATCCAAAAGAAGTAGTAATAGAGGCAGCAAGCCACGTTATTGATGGAAGAGTAACATCAGTTCGTGCATCAGCAAAAAAGTTTGGAATCCACTACTCGACTCTTTCTCGTTATATAAAAAAAGTTAAAAAAGCTGTTGATATGGGAATGCCACTACCTTATCCTGGATATAAAAAGAATCAAGTTTTTACTTATGAACAAGAAATAGCTATTGCTTCATATATATCAATATGTTCTGATATCTATTTTGGATTATCACCATATGAAACAAGAAAGCTTGCATTTGAATGTGCAGTAAAGTATGGTATTATTTTTCCCAAATCGTGGTTAAAACATTCCATGGCTGGTCCTGATTGGATGAGAGGGTTTTTAAACCGACATCCAAGATTGTCTATCAGAACTCCAGAAGCAACAAGTCTTGCACGAGCAACTAGCTTTAATCGTGCTAATGTAGGTGTTTTTTTTCAAAAATTATCAGATGTTTTAGATAGGCATCATTTTTCTGCATCAAATATCTTTAATGTTGATGAGACTGGTATCACCACTGTGCAAAAACCAAACAAAATAATTGCTCGTAAAGGCATTAAGCAAGTGGGTGCATTAACTTCTCAAGAGCGAGGGACATTAGTGACAATGGTAATAGCCGTAAATGCATATGGCAATAGTGTGCCTCCAATGTTTCTTTTTCCAAGAAAGAAATTCTTTGATCACTTTATTCGTGATGGGCCAAATGGCTGCATTGGTGCTTCGAATGGATCAGGCTGGATGAATGAGGAGTGCTTTATTACTTACATAAACCACTTTATTCGACATGTAAAGCCATCAAAAGAAAGCCCTGTGTTATTACTTTTAGACAATCATCAATCTCATTTATCTATTCAATTAATAACATTGTGTAAAGATAATGGTATAGTTTTGCTTTCTTTCCCTCCTCATTGTTCGCATAAGTTGCAACCTCTAGATAGATCTGTATTCGGACCATTTAAAAAATGCTTAGCTAATGCACAAGACTCATGGATAAAAAGTAGTCCAGGGAAAACAATGAGTATATATGATTTACCAGGAATTGCAAAAATAGCATTACAACATTCTCTTACACAACAAAATATATCTTCTGGTTTTAGAGTGGCAGGAATATTGCCATATAATAAGGATATATTTTCAGATGCAGATTTTGCTCCATCATTTGTTACGGATCGTCCAGCAACCCAATCTAATGCAGCTATTGATATTAGTATATCAACTTCAACCTCAGATGCAATTCCATCTGCAGTTTCAAAATTTTCCCCTGAGGTTGTAAGACCGCTACCAAAAGCACGACCCAGGAAAGAAATACTCACTAGATCAAAGAGAAAGCATACAGAAGTACTCACAGATACACCAGTAAAACAGCGTCTTATGGCTGAAAAAGAAATTAGTTCTAGAAAGCGAAAATCTGCTAGTACTTCTGCATCAAAAAAAAAAACAATAAAAAAGTATAATTGTTGACTTGAAATGTAATGAAACTCTTTAGTTTCTTTAATGCTAGTTTGTTTTTTTATGAGCCTTTATTGCTTGGAAATTTTTTTTTTTGTTATCAAAGTTAGATTATTGTTTATTTTTATGAAAGTTGTGTTTTATATTATTTATAAAACTACTCTTGCATTTTTATAAATTGATTTAATGTTTACTGAATAACTAAAGGAATACTTTTTTAAAAAAACACTTAAAAGTTTAAATAATATATGAGCTTAAATAATAATCCTCATTATTTTCTTTCTTCAGTTTTTAAAGTCTTTGAATGTAAGCATTAGTTTACTAAACATGT